CTAGCTCTTGCAGGAGGATATCACTGCCTTCCTTGCAGGCTTGGATCCTTAACTTGTGGTTCAAAGAATGTTATTGGGGAATTCTGGACTCTCAAGCTGCGTTTGGTTTATTTATTTATTTGCAGTATTTGTATATCGCTTTTCTCACCCCGAGGGGGGACTCAAAGCGGTTTACACATAAGTAATGGCAAAATTCAATGCCAGTACAAACAATTACAATTATACACTACAATTAGACATAAATCGTTAAAAACATCCCCAAGCAATAAAACAATCATTAAAACAATAAAACAGTCTCGTCCTGTCGAATCGCCGTTCCAGTCATTGTCTTTCTGAAATGCTGCATACATTTTCTACCCCAAGGCCTGGTCCCAAAACCATGATTTTAATTTTTTCTAAAAGCCAGGGGGGAGTGGGACTGTGTTCCATAGGCGGGGGGCCACAGCCGAGAAGGCCCTGTCTCTCATCCCCACCAGGTGCATTTGTGCTGTTGACGGGAGCGAGAGCAGGGCCTCCCTGGATGATCTTAGATTACGAGGTGGGACGTAGGGGTGGATGCGTTCGGACAAGTAAGCTGGGCCAGAACCGTATAGAGCTTTATAGGTCAAAACCAGCACTTTGAATTGGGCTCGGAGATGGAACGGCAGCCAGTGGAGCTGGCATTGCAGGGGGTGGTGGTATGCTCTTTGCCAATTTCCACAATGTGACTGTTTTGTAATCCTTAGCCAAACTGGCTTCTCACATAAGGTCTTCTAGTGCCTTAGGCCATATTTCATTCTGGCTTGGACATGAAGGAAGGGAGTTCCATGTAGACACTAATGTGCATATTTCTGTGTAGTTTCTGCCTTAATGATTTCCGTTCTCGCTGTGCCATTGAACCTCCTAACCAATCTTGTGTTTAAATGGACAATTATTACAATTTAATGTGCATTTAATGTTTGTGTGTCATTTGTGTGCCGTGTGTAGCAGCTTAGGGGTGTGCGATTGCTCATTCAGCCTAAAGGTAGCACCATCCCACTTCCATTTTCAGATCCTCCAGGCAAATTAGAATCCATGCCTCCTGCGAAGAGACTTATGAAAATACAGCATGAACCCTGTATTCGCAGGGGATATATTCCTGAAAACATGGAGATAGAAAAGCAAGGATAATAACAAATCCCATTCAATTGTCTTTCCTTGTTCTTCAAATTTAACTTCTGAATTTTAATCTGTATTTTATCAGAGAATCATAATATGTATTTTAAGTGTGCGTGTATCGTTATACGTAATTTAATAGTGTTGTTTTTTTGTCTTCCTGTATGAACCTATGTATGAGTCTTGAGCCACAAGGAGAGATGGGTAATACATTTATTATTATTATTATTATTATTATTATTATTATTATTATTATTATTAGAAACACAACAGATGAGTCCACAGCAGACACTCTGCTGGCTGTTGTATTGGATCACACGTCGGACACTTCCCAAGTGTCTAGGACTGTGTGATGTATCGGCGAATAATGCGTGCAGATCCCAGTAAAAATGGCCTTTGGCAGCTGGCAATTTTGTCAGCGCTAATTGTGTTTAAGTGTAGGCCAAAGTCTTTAGGCACTGCACCCAGTGTGCCGATCACCACTGGAACCACCTTGACTGGCTTGTGCCAGAGTCTTTGCAGTTCGATCTTTAAATCTTCATATCGTGTCAGCTTTTCCAGTTGTTTCTCTGCAATCCTGCTGTCACCTGGGATTGCAACATTGAAGATCCATACTTTGTTTTTAACACGATTGTGAGGTCAGGAGTTGTGCTCCAAAACTCTGATCTGTCTGAATTCGGAAGTCTGAGAGGAGTTTGGCGTGTTCATTCTCTGTAACTCTTTCCGACTTGTGATCCCACCAGTTCTTTGTTACAGGCAGATGGTATTTGTGGCACAAGTTGCAATGAATCATCTGAGCGACGGTGTTGTGCCTCTGCTTGTAGTCTGTCTGTGCGATCTTCTTGAGGATGGGATCTATTGTTTCATCTGCTTCCTTGCAGAGTCTACATTTGGGATCTGTTATTATTGGAACTCATAGATGGGACTTGTAGATGGGTCTTGTAATAATAATAATAATTATTATTATTATTATTTATCATTTTTGTGGAATATTGTCCTGTGTGTAAGCAACACGGTATCTTGGAGTCCAGCCTTTGATTGTGCTTGCAGCTGATCTCTCTGGGGATTGTGGACCTGTTAGTCAGCCCGATGGCACTGGGGATTTTGGGTTTGCAAGTCATCAGGAGCAGCAGGAGAGCCAGCCAGAAATTTTAAGCCCTGAAAAGGTGCAGTCTCTGTCTGACGGCCACATTCCAGAAAGGAAGTTCTCTAGGGAAGCAAGCTCAGAAACAGAACTGAACTCAAAGGATGGAAATGAGAGTCCAGGTGAACAGGCTAATGAACAGCTAGATAGGAGATTTGTGTTCCATCAACACAGAGCTTCTCAGGAGAATGTAGGAAGGTCAATACGCCTATTAGCCAAGAAGGCCTTATCACTTTCCCATGGGAGAAGGCATGATTTTCTCTCTATATAACCTAGACCAGCAGGTTGTTTCACCAATCAAGGCAAGGTTGTTGTTTGAGTATAGAGTCAAGAGATTTCTAGTTCTGTGTTCCGTGTTTCCTTTTGTTCACGTCTCATGATTCCAAGGTTTGAGGACTGTTCCTGAATCTCATGTTTTGGATTTATTCTGCTTGTATTCCTGGTTTCTGATGCTACTCATGTACTTTGAATTCTGTGGATTTATCTTGATATTTGAACTTTGATTTTTTTTTTAATATACTCTTTTGCTGAATTGCTCTTCACATATTCGTCAATAATCTGCTTTGCTATTTTACCTTGGACTGGAGTGAGTGTTAAGTACAGAGGTGATTCCCAGTCTTGGAGTTCAACAGGTATAAACCTTAAAGAACTTTACCAATTCAATTCCAGTTCAGTTTTATTTAATGCTTAGTCCATGGGTCTTTCACATATAGAACAAACAAGTAAGTACATATAAATCCAATTATAAAATACTAAACAATGCAACATTTAAAAAATACTACACAAACTAGCTCTTGCTTAGTTAGAAGCTGAATAAAAACCAGTATTATTGAAGACTTAAACAAGAGAATTTTGAATATAACTGTGTACTATCTATCTATCTATCTATCTATCTATAATGCTCTGTGCATAATGAGTAATAATAATAATAATAATAATAATCTTTATTTGTACCCCGTTCCATCTCCCCAATGGGGACTTGGTGCGGCTTACATGAGGCCAAGCCCAAAACAACAATTACATGAAATAAAACAAAACGTAAATAATAAACAATAATAACGCAATTACATAAAACAAAAGACAACATAGCAATATAAAATTACAATAAACACAATCACAATAACATGGGCGAGCTACATGTAATGGATAAAAGAAAACTGGGTAGAAACAGATTAAAAACTCAGGCGAGATAAACACGAGATAAACAAAAAGTACCTTAAAAACAAGCACCAATGAACGAAATCTCACCAAATTTGGCAACAAAACGTCTCACAACACAAGAAGTGACCATCACTCAAAAAATTATGATTTTGTCATTTGGGAGTTGTAGTTGCTGGGATTTATAGTTCACCTATAATCAAAGCGCATTCTGAACTCCATCAACAATGGAATTGAACCAAACTTGGTACACAGAACTCCCATGACCAACAGAAAATACTGAAAGGGTTTGGAAGGCATTGACCTTGAATTTTGGAATTGTAGTTCACCTCCATCCAGAGAACACTGTAGACCCAAACAATGATGGATCTGGACCAAACTTGACAGGAATACTCAATAGGCCCAAATGTGAGCACAGATGTAGTTTGAGGGGAAATTGACATTTAGGAATTGTAGTTACTAGGATGTATAGTTCACCTACAAACAAAGAGCATGCCGAACCCCACCAACGGTGGAATTGGGCCAGACATCCCACCCAGAACCCCCATGACCAACAAAAAATAGTGTGTTTTCTGGTGGTCTTGGGTGACCCTTCTGGCACCCCKCTGATGCCCCCCCCCCCTTCCAGGGCCTTCCAGGTTCAGAAATGCTYTCTTAAGGCCATCCAGTTCAACTCCCTTCACCAGGGCAAGAAAACATAATCAAAGCCCTCCTGACAAAGGGCCATCCAGCCATTCACACACACACACACATATGTATATGACAGATGCAGTATCAAAGATTTGAAAGGGACCCCTAAAGAAGGACAATTATAAGTTGCATGTTCCAGAGTAGGTAAACCAGACACTCRTCACATAAACACTGGCAAAGCAACAGCAAGAAATACTGTTTCCCCACAAGCATAAAGACATTACATATATTAGAAACCAACACTTTCTCATTACTTTATTTTCCAGACCACCAGACTGGGCCACAGCAACGCGTGGCAGGTGACCGCTAGTGGTTAGATAAAAGTACAGTCAACTGCAATATCAGTCATTCATCATTATGTTATTTTATATTGTTGATTTTATTTGTTATTTCACATGTTGTTTGATGTATTTTGTTATTGTGTGTTTATTATGTTGTATGATTTTGGGCCTGGCCTCATGTTAGCTGCCCCGAGTCCCCTCTGGAGAGATGGTGGCGGTGTATAAATAAAGATTATTATTATTATTATTATTATTATTATTATTATTATTATTATTAATCTTGCCCACATTTTCAGTGTTCTTGGGGCAAAAAGAGACACCTTGTAAGCAGCCACATAGTTAGTGTCAGTCAAAAGGTAGACAATCTTTTCACATAATAACAATAATAATAATTTATTATCATCAACGTTTTGCGGAATATTGCCCTGTAGATAGATGCAACATGGTATAAACCTTAAAGAACTTTACAGAAAGCCTTAGCCTTTCCTTGAGCAACTTTGGATCGTCCCTCATAAGGTTGCATATGGTGATTGTGTCCGTTCTCCAATAAAGGCTCTTATTTTTATGTTTTCCCCCCCTCCTTCCCTTGTTAGCAAAGGACTACGAGAATGCCGTGAAGTATTATACTCAAGCCATTGAACTGAACCCCACGAATGCCATCTATTATGGCAACCGGAGTTTGGCTTACCTGCGGACGGAATGCTACGGATACGCGCTTGCGGACGCCACCAAGGCCATCGAGTTGGACAAGAAATATATCAAAGGCTACTACAGGAGGGCCACCAGCAACATGGCGTTGGGCAAGTTCAAGGCGGCCTTGCGGGACTACGAGACGGTGAGTGGGAAGGGAGACAGGATGGGAAGGAAGTAGGCCTCCCTTCTTCCTCTGAGGTTGCCCAAACTTGAGGGATATTGATTAGTTTGCTCAGAGTTACACTGCAAAGATGTGGCGGTTTCAGGGGCCACTAAGATGAGCTTTCCTTACAAGTGGGCCATTTACTCCTCACTGGGTGGATTAATGTGCTCCCTCTAGAATTCCTAAAGAGTTGCATGGACCTAGGGATTCCTTCAGATGTGTTCTTCCTGGATAGTAAAAGTTGCTGAAATAGCAGAAATTGACTGTTTATTCATTTATTTGCAATATTTATATTCTGCCCCTCGCAGGGCGGATCACAGAATACGTATACAGCAAACATTCAATGCCGATTATACAATGACAAGACAGACAACATAGATAGAGGTATCTATAGGCTTTCCCATCTTTCAGCATCTTGGAGGCTGTGCTCGATTCCGGCCACGGGTTGTGGGGTGGGGTGCTGTCACTCCATATTCCCTTCTGAAGAGTGTTTTTTGTTTGTAAACTTTCTCCTTTTTGGTGGAATTGCCATGCCTAATACCTCCCCACTTTCAACGTGGTACCTATTTATCTACTCATATTGCTGTTTTCATGGAGCTGGGCTGAAGGTCAGGAGCTCACCCTAATCCAGCGCTGAACTGTCAACCTTTTGATTGGCAAGATTTATTGCAGCTGTAACTGGTGATTAACCTGCTGTGCTAAAGCACACATAAAACCCTTTTCAATATTCAAGCATGGTTGGGAACACTTCAAAAACATTCCTGGATGAAAATAAAATTTCAACATGGGCATTTCATGTTCAAAATATTAATCTGTTACATAATATTTGACACAATTAGATTGTATGGAAACAATCGCATGAACTTGATCGTATGGAAACAGCAGTAATTCTTATGTATATGAAAGAATGCTGTGTAAACAATTTGACAATGTGTTTCAATTTTTTTAAAAGGCCAATTTTTTTAATAAATTATCAAAAATTATCTGCTTTGATTAGAGAAAAAAAATCATTAGTGATATATTTAAAAGACTGGGAACACCAGTTGAATTTTATTTGCAGAAAAAAATGATTTGATCTCTGAGAGTTTTGAGAATTAGGATTTGTCTAAAGATAAACATGACTTAATCTTATATAGAGAGGAATAGTTTTACTATGTGTATTTATTCCATGCTGAAGACTCAGTCTGGTTTAGTGAACGCAATGGGTTAAACAATAGTGGCGCAACGGATTAACCCACTGAGCTGCTGAACTTGCTGTCCAAAAGGTTGGCAGTTTGAATCTGGGGAGTGGGGTGAGTTCCCATTGTTAGCCCCAACTTCTGCCAACCTAGCAGTTTGAAAACATGCAAGTGTGAGTAGAACAGTAGGTACCGCTTTTGCGGGAAGGTAACAGTGCTCCATGCAGTCATGCTGGCCAAATGACCTTGGAGGTGTCTATGGACAACGGCGGCTCTTCGGCTTAGAAATGGAGTTCAGCACCACCCCCCAGAGTCAGACACAACTAGACTTAATGTCAGAGGAAACCTTTACCTTTTGCAATTTATAAGCACCAAAAAGAAGTTGTAAGCTTTTTTCCTTGATTAATTGATTTATGACATTTATATATTTATTTCTATGCATTTTCTCATATAATAACTGTTTTCTTTCTGCTTTCATTCACAGTTTCTTAAAATATTTACAAGATTCAATGTATTTGGAAAGGTCTCGATAAAAATAACAAAAAATAGTTGTTTTTCCAAGTATTTAAAAACCCACCTTATTATTTTCAGTTTTTTACAAGGTTCTTATGTCTCTAACTCTTGTGAAAGTTGAAAGGCTGACTATCTATAACTCCTTTCCTCCCAGGTTGTGAAGGTGAAACCAAACGACAAGGACGCCAAGATGAAGTACCAGGAGTGCAACAAGATTGTGAAACAGAAGGCTTTCGAGCGGGCCATTGCCAGCGACGAGCACAAGCGGTCCGTGGTCGACTCTCTGGACATTGAGAATATGAGTGAGTTTGGGACCAGAGGAGAACGTGAGAGTGAAAATGGGAGGGTTTCGCTCCGAAGCGAAGGCGAGGTTTCCTTTCTCTTCCATGAAGCATAATAAGCACCCCATTGCTAAAGCTAGTGACATTAGTTAATCTGACAGGCATTTGGGACTTGCTCAGAGGGGGAACCGAATCCGCATGGCAACAACAAAGGGCAAAAAGGTTGAGCTGCCTGAGGGAGGAACAAGCCCTTTTGTGCCGTTGTCCTTGACTGAAAGCCATAGGGCCCAGATGCCCAGCATCCCATGCATTTTCCTAATTTTAGGGGAAGCTGCCTGTCCATTAATAAACTGTTTCTCTGCAGTGGAGCTTGTGCTGTCCCTCAGTTTCCTAGGTGCTTCGGTGCCTAAGCTGAACATTATTTTCGAGACTTTGCATGTCTTTCGTGAACTTAAGTCTCATTGCAAAAAATTCTGGGACATAGTTGAGGACTAGGTTTCTCAACCAGGGTTCCCTGGAATTCTGGGGTTTTGTGTTTGGAAAAAAATCATTTCGAACTTTCAGAATTTTAATGCAGGGATTTTTTGTGACCTGAAAATACGCTCAACGCTACTCCAGGGTTAAAAAAAAAAAGGTTGGGACAGGCTGATCTATGGAGCATTTACTCTTTTTTTGGTGCTTTTATAAACTAAGGATGGGTTCTAGAAGACTATTACAACATTAGAGTGTTGCATGGTTTCCGGGCTGTAAGGTCATGTTCTAGCAGTATTTTCTCCGGAGGTCACTCCAGAGGTAGTGAGGTCACTCACTACCTCTGAGGATGCTAGCCATAGATGCAGGCGAAACGTCAGGAGAGAATGCCTCTAGAACATGGCCATATAGCCCGAAAAAATCTACAGCAACCCAGTGATTCTGGCCATGAAAGCCTTTGACAAAGCATTTTCTTCTTTTTTCATTTCATTGTCGAAGGCTTTCATAGCTGGAATCACTAGGTTCTTGTGGTTTTTTTCGGGCTATAGAGCCATGTTCAGAGGTAGTGAGGGTGCAGGCGAAACGTCAGGAGAAATGCCTCTAGAACATGGCTCTATAGCCCGAAAAAACCCACAAGAACCTACTTTTTTCATTTCGCCTGCATCTGTGGCTGGCATCTTCAGAGGATCTGATGGTGGTAAAGCAAGTGGAAAATATATACCTGTGGAAGGTCCAGGGTGGAAGAAAGAACCAATATCTTTTGACCAAGTGTAAAGGGTGCAATTAGCAAGCCTGATTTGAAAGAATTTGAGTGGGATCCATCCATTAGCTTATTTCACGTGCCAGGAAGGTAATGCTCAAGATCCTGCAAGGAAGACTCCAGCAAGACATGGAGATAGAGTTGCCACATGGACAAGCAGGTTTTAGGGAAGGCAGAGGATCAAGAGACCCGATTGCCAATATCTGCTGGATATTGGAAAAAGGCAGGAAGTTGCAGAGAAACATCTATTTCTGTTTTGTTGACTATTCTAAAGCCTTGGACTGTGTGGATCATAATAAACTGTGGCAAGTTCTTGTTGGTATGAGGAGACCAAGCCACCTTGCCTGTCTCCTGAGGAATCTGTATAAGGACCAAGTAGCAACAGTCAGAACTCACCATGGAACAACAGACTGGAAAGATTGGGAAAGGCGTACGGCAGGGTTGTATCCTCTCACCCAACCTATTCAACTTGTATGCAGAACACTTCATGCGATGTGCGGGGCTTGACGAATGCAAAGCTGGGGTAAAAATGGCTGGAAGAAACATTAACAACCTTAGATATGCGGATGATACTACTTTGATGTCCAAAAGCGAGGAGGAGCGGAGGAACCCTCTCACCAAGGTGAAAGAAGAAAGTGCAAAAGCTGCAGTTAAACATTAAAAAAACCCCAAGATGATGGCAACCAGACTGATGGATAGCCAGCAAATAGCGGGAGAAAACGTGGAGTCAGAGACAGGGTTTGTATTTCTCAGCGGGAAGATTACTGCAGACTGCAGCCAGGAAATCAGAGGACGGTTCCATCTTGGGAGGAGTGCAATGGCCAATCTCAATAAAATAGTGGAGAGACATCACACTGGCAACAAACGTCCGCGTAGTTCAAGCAATGGTATTCCACATAGTAACCTATGGATGTAAGAACTGGACCATAAAGAAGACTGAGCGAAGGAAGAGCGATGCTTTTGAAATGAGGAAAATGCTGAGAATGCCTTGGACCACAAGAAGATCCAACCAGTCCATTCTCCGGGAACTAATGCTCAACTGCTCACTATAGAGAAGGATATTAGAGACAGAGATGAAATACTTTGGCCACATTTATTTTTATTTATTTACAGTATTTATATTCCGCCCTTCTCACCCCGCAGGGGACTCAGGGTGGATTACAATGTACATATACATGGCAAACATTCAATGCCATAGACACACAACATATATAGACAGAGGCCATTTAACATTCCAGCTTTTTCATGAGGGTATTCTGGCCACCAGGGGAGCTGTCGCTTCACCATCACCATTTGTGACACTGATGAAGTACTTCTTCATTCTTTACAGGCTTGCTAGAGATTTTTATGGTGTTGTAAATTAGCCTCCTTGCTTAAGTGGAACCTAAATTTCCTACTTGACAGATGCAACTGTCTTTCAGGCTGCAAAGGTCATCAGCAAGCTACACACATTGGTCGGAAGCTCACTCCGACCCGGGCTAGCTTCGAACTCATGACCAACTGTTCTTCTTTATACCCCACATCATGAGAAGACAGAAAAGCTTGGAGAAGATAGTGATGCTGGGGGAAATGGAAGGAAAAAGGAAGAGGGGCCGATCAAGGGATGGATGGTATCTTTGAAGTGACTGGCTTAACCTTGAAGGAGCTGGGGGTGACCATAGCGGACAGGGAGCTCTGGCCTGGGCTGGTCTAGGAGATCACCAAGAGTCGGAAGTGACTGAACAAATCAACAACAGCAACTGAGGAGATTGTATCATGAGGGCATCTGCCTGTAAGCAGCCAGGCAGATTTGTTCCTTTGGTGTGTTTATTGCCTAGAGGCAATAAGCCGGCTTCTAGGAATTGTGGGAGTGAAAGTCCAGAACACTCGGAGGGCTAAAGTTTGCCCATGCCTGCTTTAGATGCACCTGAGGGCATCCTCCTTCTATAGGAGTTGAAAACTGGTGTGTTACAGTCTTTCTGTTGAGTGAGTTTGGAAGACATCAGGAGGGGCCCTGCCTTTCCCTTTAGGTTTGGAAATGGCCGAGAAGGAGGCCTTCTTGCCTCGTGACTCCCTCCTTTCCAAAGGCAGCCCTGGCCTCTTCCTGCCGGTGACTAATGCCGCTTTGCCGGCTGGCTGCGCCGAGGGTTTCCTGCCAGGGCCCAAAATAGACCACAATCTCCCATCATAAATAGATCTCATCACAGAGAGGCTTAATCAGTAAGAGTAAATAGACACCGTTTTTGCAAATGGCACGAGCAAGGCAGCCTTGGTCCCTGCATCTGGATTGAACTCTGGCACAGTTGAAGTCTGAATGCCCCTGAAATCGAATTTTTATAATCCCCTACCTTTGAATGTGTTTGAAGAAAGCTAGAAACAGGATGTTGTGAAGGGCAGTCCAACCCTAGATGATCAGAAAGGCAGGACTCTGTRTTTTAATGGTGGGAGTCGTAGTCCAAAACACCTGGAGGGCCGAAGTTTACCCATGCCTGCTCTAAACCACCCCCACCTTTCTCCCCCCCCCCCCCAGCCATCGAGGACGAGTACAGCGGCCCCAAGCTGGACGATGGGAAAGTGACCCCCGAATTCATGAAGGAGRTAATGCAGTGGTACAAGGATCAAAAGAAGCTTCACAGGAAGTGTGCCTACCAGGTACTTCCTCCCCTCTGTTCCAGGGATGCTGAAAATGATGCGTTTGGTGAAACTGGGAGATAATGATAATTGATAATGATTAATTGCATGCTGATGCTTTTATGTTAAGCCACTTTGAGTCTCCTGCAGGAGAGATAAAGCAGGGTGTAAATAAATAATATAATAATAATAATAATAATAATAATAATAATAATAATATATAAAAATGTAATGTTCAGTTGTGGGATTAACATAACTCAAAAATCACTGGACGAATTGACACCAAATTTGGACACAAGACACCTCTCAAGCCAACAAGTGATCATCACTCATAAAACACCGGAAAACACAGCTGAAGAGACTTAAAAAGCCAAAAAACAAAAATTACATTTCAGCACATGTGCAAAACGATGCACACACACACACACATATATATATATGCACACATATACACACACAATACACATATACACAGACTGGGCTGCATCAACGCATGGCAGAGGACAGCTAATAATAATAATAATGATGATAATAATAATAATAATAATAATAATAATAATAATAATAATATCAATAAAAATGTAATGTTCAGTTGTGGGATTAACATAACTCAAAAATCACTGGACGAATTGACACCAAATTTGGACACAATACACCTATCAGGCCAACAAGTGATCATCACTCATAAAACACCGGAAAACACAGCTGAAGAGACCTAAAAAGCCAAAAAACAAAAATTACATTTCAGCACATGTGCAAAACCACACACACACACACATATATATATATACATACAAATATATACGCACACATATACACACACAATACACATATACACAGACTGGGCTGCATCAACGCATGGCAGAGGATAGCTAATAATAATAATAATGATAATAATAATAATAATGTCCAGATATCCTTCACTTCTTAATCATAATGATCCATATATCATCATTTGCCCCTGCTTTTTTTTAACTTCCAAAGTACCATCAGACCTCCATATCTGTGACTTTAATGTTTATAGATTTGGATTTGATTAATGTGTTCTCTTCAGAAATCTCTGAAGTCCTCCACCTTGGACTTCCATTGGAGAATGACCAGAGAATGGTAATAGAGGACCTAGGTCCCTTCTACACTTCCATATAATCTAGATCAGGGGTCCTCAAACTAAGGCCCGGGGGCCAGATACGGCCCTCCAGGGTCATTTACCCAGCCCTCATTCAGGGTTAACCTAAGTCTGAAATGACTTGAAAGCACACAACAACAACAACAACAATCCTATCTTATCAGCCAAAAGCAGACTCACACTTCCCATTGAAATACTAATAAGCTTATATTTGTTAAAACTGTTCATTTTAATGATTGTATTGTTTTAAGTGTTTTCTGCATTACAAATAAGATATGTGCAGTGTGCATAGGAATTCATTCATTTTTTTTCAAATTATAATCGGGCCCTCCAACTGTTTGAGGGACTGTGGCCTGGCTCTCTGTTGAAAAGGTTTAAGGACCCTAGATTATCAAAGTAGATAGTCCATGTTGTTTGCCTTGAACCTGGTTATATGAGTCTACACTGCCATATAATCCAGTTCAAAGAAGATAATTTGGATTGTATATGGCAGTGTAGAAGGGGCCCTAGACATTCGTAGACAAAGCATTTCTAGTTCCTCCAGCATGATTCTGTGCTCAGCTTTTGCTAGATGTTGACCATAAAAACATGCTGGAGGACCTAGAGATTTCTATAGAGGCATTCTTTTTAGATATTTTTATACTCTTTCCCTACTTTTGTGGAGATTCCCAGTGAATGTGGAAGGTCTTTTTCCAATAGCTGTGAAAAAAATGATATATGTGTATGTATATGTGTGTGTGTATATATGAGAGAATGATTTTAGTCAGTGACCAGCATTAAAACAAATAGCAAAAGGTAAATAAACATATGTTTAGGCATTAAATTACAATTTTTAAAAGCAGAGTTAAGAAACGATGTTGAATATAAGAGTTAAAAACAATATTACTGGTAAATATTTGTATATTTACATATACGAGTATTTAGTTTTGTTTTTTTTAACTCTCATACTCAACATAGTTTCCTAACACTGTTATTAAAAAATTGTTAAAAAAACTAACTATGATGTGGTTGTTTATATTCAAAGTTCTCTTATTTAATTCTTCAGTAATACGGAATTTTAATTGGTTACTTACTAGGCAAGAGGTAATTAATGTTGCATTGTTTGATATTTTATAATTGGGTATTTATTTATTTATTTATTTCGCACATTTGTACCTTGTCCTTCTCATCCTAGATTGGGACTCAGGGTGGCTTTGCAACAGGCAACCATTAGATGTCAAACACATACATTAAAGTAAACAGTTACAATTAAAACAACAGTTAAAAACAGTTATAAACATTCATTTAAAAGTTCTGCCAGTTCAGAATCAAAGTCCAAGGTCAGTCCATTGCTGGCCGCATAAGTTATATGTACTTACTTGTTATTTATTTATTTATTTATTTATTTATTTATTTACTTTGCTTATATACCGCTGTATCTCAAGCCCGAAGGCGACTCACAGCGGTTCACAAACAGTAAAAACAGTAGAAACAGCAGTGGTTCCATACAACATATAACAATTGACTTAACACATTATCCATAAATTACCAATAAGCAATTACAATGCACAATTATTACAAAAAACAACCGTACCCAATCTTATCATCATCCAAGCGTAGTCCAGGTTCGTCGTCCATTGTTCCATTCCTATGTTCCATTACCAGATTGCACTAAATTACTCAAACGCCTGCACAAACATCCAGGTCTTCACCTTTTTGCGGAATACCATTAGAGATGGTGCTAGTCTAATGTCCGTAGGAAGGGCGTTCCACAGCCGAGGAGCCACCACCGAGAAGGCCCTATCTCTCGTCCCGCCAGCCGAGCTTGAGAAGCAGGCGGGATCGAGAGCAAGGTCTCCCCGGAAGATCTCAAAGTCCTGGTGGGTTCATAGGCAGAGATGCGGTCAGATAGGTAGCTTGGGCCGGAACCGTTTAGGGCTTTAAAGGCCAACGCCAGCACTTTGAATTCAGCCCGGTAGCAGATCGGTAGCCAGTGGAGTTGGCGCAACAGGGAGGTTGTATGCTCCCTGCGCTCCGCTCCTGTTAAAATCATGGCTGCCGAGCGTTGGACTAGTTGGAGCTTCCGAGCTGTCTTCAAAGGCAACCCCACGTAGAGAGCGTTGCAGTAGTCTAAACGGGATGTAACCAGAGCGTGGACTATCGTGGCCAAGTCAGACTTCCCAAGGTACGGGCGCAGCTGGCGCACAAGCTTTAGCTGTGCAAATGCTCCCCTGGTCACCGCCGAAACCTGGGGTTCCAGGCTCAGCGATGAGTCCAGGGTCACACCCAAGCTGCGAACCTGCGTCTTCAGGGGGAGTGCGGCCCCATCCAACACAGGCTCTTTTTAGTTCTGTATGTAAAAGATCCATGGTCTAAGCATTGCATTTTTTAAAAATAGGATTGACTATATTTAAATAGCTGTGATAAGAGCTGATATGAAACCATGAAGTAATAATAATAATAATAATAATAATAATAATAATTTATTTGTAACCCGCTACCATCTCCCCAAGGGACTCGGTGCAGCTTACATGATGCCGAGCCCACAATACATCAATAAACAAAACATCAAAAACATTTCAAGATATTGTAGACACTGTTGACATTTAAGATGCTACAACAGTGGTTCTCAACCTTCCTAATGCCGTGACCCCTTAGTACAGGTCCTCATGTTGTGGTGATCCCCAACCATAACGTTATTTTCGATGCTACTTCATAACTGTAATTTTGCTACTGTTATGAATCGTCATGTAAATATCTGATATGCAGGATGTATTTTCAGTCACTGGACCAAATTTGGCACAAATACCCGATACGCCCAAAATTTGAATACTGGTGGGGTTGGGGGTGATTGATTTTGTCATTTGGTAATGCTGGAGTTGCTGGGATTTATAGTTCACCTTAAATCAAAGAGCCTTCTGAACTCCATCAATGATGGAATTGAATCAAACATGGCACACAGAATTCCCATGACCAAGAGAAAATACTGGGAAGGTCTGGTGGACATTGACCTTGAGTTTTTGGAGTTGTAGTTCACCTACATCCAGAGAACACTGTGGACTCAAGCAATGATGGATCTGGATCAAACTTGGCACAAATACTCAATATGCCCAAATGTGAACACTGGTAGAGTTTGGAGAAAATAGACCTTGCCATTTGGGAGTTGTAGTTGTTGGAATTTATAGTTCACCAACAATGAAATAGCATTCTGAACCCCACCAATGATAGAATTGGACCAAACTTTCCACACAGAACCCCCATGACCAACAGAAAATACTATGTTTTCTGATGGTCTTTGGTGACCCCTCTGACACCCCCTCGTGACCTCCACATGGGTCCCGACCCCCAGGTTGAGAAACACTGTGCTACAAGATTGTCCTTGGCTTTTTCAAAAATCATTTCTGATCATGAGGACTGTCTACTGTACTTGGCTTTAAATGATTGCAATTGTAGTGTATAATGCTGCTCAGAATATAAATGCATGTTTATTGATTTCCCCCTTCTTTTTCGCATCAGTCTTTCCTCCCATTTAGCCTGACTTGTCTCTCCCTTCTTGCAGATCTTGGTGCAAGCGAAAGAGGTGCTATCGAAACTCCCCACCTTAGTTGAAACGACGTTAAAAGAAGTGAGTACTGTAGAAATGGACTGAGTTCCACCGATGCTAATACCATAATATGTTGTTACTTGATTTATGGGTTGTTTATTTGCTTTTTTTGGGTCGCACTTTACGGCATTGAACGTTTGTCGCTGTATGTTGTGAACCGCCCTGAGTTCCCATTGGGAAGATAGTGCGGGATAGAAATAAAGTTTTATTATTATTACTAGCTTGGGTACCTGGCGTTGCCTGGGTTATTTGAAAAAGTCATTTTTTTATTTTCCAAAATGCATACGTTTGTGGGTGAACTACAACTCACATCAGGGTCAACTCCCTGAAACTCCATCAATAGTTAAAGTTTGTCATGTTGGGCAAGTTTGCTCTAGATCAGGGTTCCTCAAACTTTTTAAACAGAGGGCCAGGTCACAGTCCCTCAAACTGTTGGAGGGCCAGATTATAATTTGCAAAAAAAGAAAAAAGAAAGAAAGAAAAAAAAAAGAATGGATTCCTATGCACACTGCACATATCTTATTTGTAGTGCATAAAAACACTTAAAAATAATGCAATAATTAAAATCAAGAACAATTTGAGCAAATATAAACTTATTAGTATTTCAGTGGGAAGTGTGGGCTGTTTTTGGCTGATGAGATAGGATTGTTGTTGTTGTGTGCTTTCAAGTCATTTCAGACGTAGATTGACCATGAGCGAGGATCAGGTAAATGACCTTGGAGGGCCGTATCTGGCCCTCGGGCCTTAGTTTGAGGACCCCTGGTATAGATCAATGCAGGAGGAAAGACTTATTTGGAAGGGGAGAAGAGACGGGGAAAATATTTTATTCCTATTTCCTATTTTATTTTATTTTTTACTATATTATATATTTTATTTCCATTTCACATGTAATTTTATATTTAATTTTATATTATATTTCACATTTCATTTTTTATTTTATTTTACTTTGATCAATTTTATATTTTGTACTTTTTTGATTTTTTTGGTTTTATTATATTTCACATTTCATTTCATATATTTTATTTTATTATTTTATTTTAATTTGTTTTATTTTATATTTTATTTTATTTTGCTTTATTTTGTTTTGTTATTATGTTATGTTATGTTATATTATATTATATTATATTATATTATATTATATTATATTATATTATATTATATTATATTATATTATATTATATTATATTACAGGGTTGTTGTGAGTTTTCTGGGCTGCCTGGCCATGTTCCAGAAGCATTCTCTCTTGACGTTTCAAGTAATTTCAGACTTAGGTTGACCCTGAGTGAGGGCCGGGTAAATGACCTTGGAGGGCCGTATCCGACCCTCGGGCCTTAGTTTGAGGACTTATGCTCTAGATCAACGTTTCTCAACCTGGGGGTCGCAAGGGAGTGTCAGAGGGGTCGCCAAAGCCCATCAGAAAACACATTCATGCCTCTTCGAATTCTATAGCACTGCTGGTCACAGCTGACCTCCAGTTAGAGTGCTCAAGGGCCAGAGATTCCCAGTTCTCAGTGTCTATCACACAATTGTTAAGGTTGGGTTTAAGCCCATATTTAAATCTCTTTTCCAGTCCACCAACATTACGTTTCCCGTTCTTGAGTTGGGAGGTTTGGGGCACAACCATGTCATGGTCCCTTGGAATTGAACAGAGGGGAATAATCCAGGGCTCATTGCAAGGAAATATATGTGATTCAGTCTGTTGTCTCTTCTCCCTATTGTCTCTTCTCTCTTTGCTCCAGACAGAGAAAATCACAGTCTGTGGAGACACCCACGGCCAGTATTACGACCTCCTGAACATATTTGAGTTGAATGGGCTGCCGGCAGAAACAAACCCCTATGTATCCTTCTTGGTGCTCCGTTCTGGGTCTCTTGTATCGATCACCTCCTCTCTTTGGAGGGAAGCAGGAGTCATAATGCAGGCGGCATTCCTTTTTTATTATTTCACTATCTGTACCTGTCACGCGTTGCTGTGACCAACCTTCCCTCCCTCTTTTTCTCCTTTCTTTTTCTCCTTTCTTTTTCTCCTCCTTTCCCTCTTCTGTTCCTTCCTTCGCCTTTTTTCTTTCCTTCTCTCCTTCCTTCCTTCTCTTCTTCTTCCTTCCCCACTTTTCTTTCGCTTCCTCTTTCTCTCCTTCCTTCCTTCCCTCTTTCCTTCCTCCCTTCCCCTTTTTTCTTTCATTCTTTCCTTCCTTCTCTCCTCTCCTTCCCCCTTTCTTCCTTCTTTTCTCTCTTCCTTCCTTCCCCTTTTTTCTTTTTCTCTCCTCCTTCCTTCCTTCCCCTTTCTTTCTTCCTTTCTCTTCCTTCCTCCCGCTTTCCTTCCTTACCTTCCTTCCCCTTTTTTCTTTCATTCTCTCCTTCCTTCCTTCTCTTCCTTTCCTTCCCCCCTTTTCTTTCGCTTCCTCTTTCTCTCCTTCCTTCCTTCCCTCTTTCCTTCCTTCCTTCCCCTTTTATCTTTCCTTTTCTCCTTCCTTCCTTCTCTTCCTCTTCCTTCCCCTTTTCTTTCGCTTCCTCTTTCTCTCCTTTCTTCCTTCCTCTTTCCTTCCTTCCTTCCCCTTTTTCTTCCTTTTCTCTTCCTCCTTCCTTCTCCTTCCTTCCTTCCCCTTCTTTCCTTCCTCTTTTCTTCCTTCCTTCTTTCCCTTCCTTCCTTCTCCCCTTTCTTTTTTCCTTCCTTCCTTCCTTCTCTTCCTCTTCCTTCCCCCCTTTTCTTTCCCTTCCTCTTTCTTCCCCTTTCTTCTTTCTCTACCCATTCTTGGACTGTAACTCCCAGCAGTCCTCCTGATCGATCTACCTACCTACCTACCTACCTATCTCTATCTAATCTCTCTATCTGGAGGATTGATGGGAGTTGCAGTCCAGGAATAGCAAATTGGAAATATGCAGGAATTGGGATGCTCTCAAAGAAATCCAAGGAGAAGAAAGTTGCATCTTGGAAGCAGTGCATTTGGATCATCCTCCTCTCCTAAAGGGCCTGGTCTAGGGGATGCTGGGAGCTGTAGTCTGGAAAAGAGTGTGGACATGCTATTGTGTGTTTTGTTTGTTGGGGGAGTTGTTTTTGCGCATGCGCTGTAGCGTCTTTTTACTTTTATGGGTTTTTAAGTCCTTTCCAACGTGTTTTTCAGTGTTTTTATGGGTGATGGTCACTTGTTGGCTTGAGAGGTGTCTTGTGTCCAAATTTGGTGTCAATTCGCCCAGTGGTTTTTGAGTTATGTTAATCCCACAAATGATTTATGTATATAGATTACTAGCCAGCCCCTGCCACGCATTGCTGTGGCCCAGTCTGTGTATATGTGTTTTGTGTGTGTATATATGTGTATATGTGTGTTTGTGTATATATGTGGTTCTGCGCATGCGTTGTATTTTTGGGTGTTTTTTTGTTTTTGTTTTTTGCTTTTTAAGACTCTTCTGCTGTGGTTTTCAGTGTTTTTATGAGTGATGGTCACTTGTTGGTCTGATATGTGCATTGTGTCCGAATTTGGTGTCAATTCGTCCAGTGGTTTTTGAGTTATGTTAATCCTGCAAACTAACATTACATTTTTATTTATATAGACTAGCTGTACCAGCCATGCATTGCTGTGGCCAACCTTCCCTACTTCTTTCTCTCCTTCTTTCCCTCCTTCCTTCGCTCCCTCTTTCATTAATTCCTTCCCTTTTCTTCTTTCCTTCTATCCTTCCTTCTCTACCTCTTTCCTTTTTCTTTTCCTTCCCTTTCTTTCCTTCTCCTTCTCTGCCTCTTTCCTTCCTTCCTTCACTTTTTGCTTCCATTCTTCCTTTTGTCTTTCCTTCCCTCCCTCTTTCCCTCCTTCTTTCTCTCCTTCTTTCGCTCCTCTCTTTCATTCCTTCCTTCCCTTTTCTTCTTTCCTTCTATCCTTCCTTCCTTCTCTACCTCTTTCCTTCCTTTTGTCTTTCCTTCCTCTTTCTCTCCTTTCTTCCATTTCCACCTCTTTCCCTCCTTCCTTCCTCCCTTTCTTCCTTTCCTTCCTCCTTCTTCTCTTACCTTTTCTTTCTTCCCTTTTTTCTTTTCTCTTTCTCTTTCCTTCTCTACTTCTTCCTTCCTTTGCTTTTTGCTTCCATCCTTCCTTCTGTCTTTCCATCCCTCCCTCTTTCTCCCTTTATTTCTTTTTCCTTTGCTCCATCTTTCCCTCTTTTCCTTTTTTCTTTCCTTCTCTCCTTCCTCTTCTCTCCCTTCTTTCCTCCTTTTTTCCTCTTCTCTCCTTTCTTCTTCTTTACCTCCTTCCTTCCTTCCTTCCTCTCCCCTTCCTTCCCTCCCCCCCCCCCCCTGTATTGTCATTTAGCTTTTCCTCATTTAGCTTTTCAGGGGTTTAAGTCCTTTCCACTTTTTTTGGTTCTCAGTGATGGTCACTCGTTGGTCTGTTAAGGGTGTAGTGTCCAAATTTCCTGTCATTTCATCCAGTGGTTTTTGAGTTCTGTTAATCCCACAAACAAACATTACATTTTTATTTATATAGATTGTCACAATTGTATAACATCAAGGAAAAGCGGGGGGAGGATGGGAAATAAAGAAAAGCATGATATGTAAGTTAAGAGAGTTTTGTTAGCATATAAATCTAACAGGAATCTAGCATATAAAGAAATTACATCTACAATATCTTCTATTCGAAGAACAAGTAGATTTAATGTATTGTCGGAGGCTTTCATGGCCGGAATCACTGGGTTGTTGTAGGTTTTTTCGGGCTATATGGCCATGTTCTAGAGGCATTCTCTCCTGACGTTTCGCCTGCATCTATGGCAAGCATCCTCAGAGGTAGTGAGTTCTGTTGGAACTAGGAAAAAGGGTTTATATATCTGTGGAATGACCAGGGTGGGACAAAGGACTCTTGTCTGCTGGAGCTAGGTGTGAATGTTTCAACTGACCACCTTGATTAGCATATAATGGCCTGACAGTGCCTAGAGCAATCTTTTGTTGAGAGGTGATTAGATGTCCTTGTTTGTTTCCTCTCTGTTGTTGTCAGACACCAATTTGTGTATTTTTAAATACACAAGCATGTGGACAATTTCAACAGAAGGGAGGAAACCATGAAAACGAACAAAATCTGGCTACCAGTATTAAAAAGCTCTAAAATTACAACAGCACAACAACAGAGAGGAAACAAACAAGGACATCTAATCACCTCTCAACAAAAGTTTGCTCTAGGCACTGTCAGGCCATTATATGCTAATCAAGGTGGTCAGTTGAAACATTCACACCTAGCTCCAGCAGACAAGAGTCCTTTGTCCCACCCTGGTCATTCCACAGATATATAAGCCCATTTTCTTAGTTCCAACAGACCTCACTACATCTGAGAACGCTTGCCATAGATGCAGGCGAAACGTCAGGAGAGAATGCCTCTAGACCATGGCCATACAGCCCGAAAAAACCTACAACAACCCAACAAGTAGATTCTTGTCATCTGGCATTTGTATTAATTTTCTTATATTGTCCCATCTTTTTCTTATATTTTCCCCCAAGCCTGCATGATAAGTGTTCCTTTTATCAGTTTACTTAGACATATTCTATTTTCCTCTTAGTTTCAATAATATCCACCCATTTACATATCCCGGTGGTGCAATGGGTTAAACCAGGGGTCGGGAACCTTTTTGACTCAGAGAGCCATGAAAGCAAAATATTTGGAAATTTATTTCAGTGAGAGCCATATAATATATTTTAAGACTGAATTCAACTAAATGTGAGTATAATAAGCCTCTGAATTTATTCTTTTAAATAATGTTGTTATAATACTCACCATTAATGCGACTTCTGGTGCTGCATGGATTTGCTGATGGCTTTGTAGTCTGGTTGGTACTTGGTGAGGTTAAGCTTCATGCAGGCGTTGAGGCTTTCATCCGTTAAACGTGATCGTAGGTTGGACTTGATGTTTTTAAGATGTGAAAATGACTGCTCACATGAATACGTAGATCCAAACATGGTCAATACAGCAATACTCACACGCTTCAGTGTGTCGTATGTGACAGGAAGCGCGTTCCAAGTTTTGATAATCAGCTGGTCTTCAGGTTGAAGTTTTTTCATTTCTGTCCACATGTGCTTGCTCGCCAACTCCGCTTTCTGTCGTGCGATTCTTTCCAAATCTTCATTCAGTGACTTGAACTTATTCACCCACATGTCTGAGGCCTTCAGGTCAGCCACTTCTGCTTCAAAATCTCTGAGGGAGACATCAGGAATGTAACTCAGGTCGGCTGTGTTCAGTGAACACTCGTTTGGATGGGTGATGAACTTAAAGAGATGAGTGTGCTCACGAAATTCTCCGAAGCGTGCTTTGAACGACTGTAGGAGACTGGATGTGAAGCCAGCTAGCTGGTGGAGATCAAAGTTTTGAGTGGGCTCACTTGCTGTGCATGCATCTTTAAATTGTCTCAGTTTTTCAAAATGTAGTAAACGACCCGTTTCAAGATCCATGATAAAGAGCTCCAGCTTGTTTTCAAAAGCAAACACGGCGTGTTGAAGGGATAACACTGTATTTCCAATGCCTTGCATTTTCACGTTGAGCTGGTTCAGATGTTCAGTCATATCCACGAGATAGTAAAACTTGAGGAGCCACTCAGTTTCGGCTAGCTCAGGATGCTCGATGCCTTTCATTTCAAGGAAATTCCGGATTTCGTTCAGGCAAGCCGCAAAACGGCTGAGCACCTTCCCTCGTGACAACCAACGCACATTGCTGTGCAAAAGCAGACCGTGGTAGTTATTTCCAACTTCATCCAGCAGTGTTTTAAACTGGCGATCATTTAAGGCTCGGGCAACAATAAAGTTGATCACACGAATGACCAGCGACATCACTTCGCCAAGCTGACCGTCACACATCTGAGCACAAAGTGCCTCCTGGTGTAGAATGCAATGGAAACTTAGGATGGGTCTATTTTCATGTTCACGGAGAAGCGCCACAAATCCTTTGTTTTTCCCCACCATACACGGAGCACCATCAGTACACACTGAGAGAAGTTTATCCATAGGTAGATTTTTTTCACGAGCGAACTCCATGAAAGACTTGAATAAATCCTCACCTCTTGTGGACCCTTTTATTGGCAGAACAGCAAGACTTTCTTCGCACAGTGTGTCACCAGCAGCATATCTTGCAATCACACTGAACTGCGCCAAATGACTTACGTCTGTTGACTCATCCAAAGCCAGGGAAAAGAACGGCGCTGCATTTATGTCCTTCACTTGCGTTTCCTCCACTTGGTTTGCCATCATGATGGTACGATCATGAACAGTTCTTGCCGACAGAGGCATGTCTTGTATCCGTTTGATTATCTTATCTTTGTTCGGAAGATCATCAAAAAGTTCATTGGCTACATCCAGCATCAACGTTTTAGCATACTCGCCATCTGTGAATGGTTTTCCGTTCCTTACTATTGCTAAAGATCCAGCAAAACTAGCGGAATTATAGTCGCCTTGCCGGGTCCATACGCAGAGTTGCTGCTGGCTAGCTTGCACCCTGCTCAGCAGCTCTTGGCACGCTTTCTTCCTGCTGTCTCCCGCAGGGTATTTTGATGCAAAGGTAGCATGGCGTGTGTCGAAGTGCCGCTTTACATTCCACCGTTTCATCGATGCAATTTTGTCATTGCAGATTAGGCACACCGCAGAACCTGCTCTCTCTACAAAGGCGAATTCTTCAGTCCATTCATCCTGAAATGTACGATACTCATCATCTTTTTTTCTTTTCGCCATCTTCTTCGTTGAAGGGTTAGCTTTGAGCTAATGACCGAGCAGACTGATTCAAAAGGGGGCGTTTACCTGTTTACCCAGAGAAACATGGGAATTGTAGTTTTGCAAGGCCTCAGGAAACTCAATGCTATGAAACATGGGAGTTATAGTTTTGCAAGGCCTCAGGAAACACAATACAACAAAGATGGGAACTGTAGTTTTGCAAGGCCTCAGGAAATTCAATCCTATAAACATGGGAATGGTGTCTAATTCCCTTTTTTCCCTTTCAGACTACATTTCCCGGCATCCCTTAGCCTGGAGGGCTATCGCGGGGCATGCCGGGAGCTGTAGTCAGGGCGAGAAGGGAGGCGGAAACGGCCTCGGTGCGGTGCAGTTCCCCCGGCGGCCCGAGAGGGGGCGTGGCGCGCTCCGCCCCTTTCCCTCCCTCGGCCAGAGCTTCGCTTCTCGGGCGCCGTAGCTGAAGAAAGGCCCCTCTCGCTCTCCCCTCTTCCCCGCTTTCCCTGCTCCGGGCCCGGCGAGGCCGCTACGCGAGGCCGGGGATCGGCGGAGGCGACTAGGCCGCAACGGGTCAAGGTGGGCTTTCGGTGGGGAAAAGATTCCCCGTTGCTTCCCTTCTCCCTTCCTTCCCTCCTCCCTTCCTTCGGGGCCTAATCAGCCAAAGGCGGGCTCAGTTCCTTTCCAAGGGAATACACGGGCGAGCCAGATGCACTCATCAAAAGAGCCACACCTGGCTCGCGAGCCATAGGTTCCCGACCCCTGGTATAAAGAATGGGGGTGGATAGAAGACTGACAGGTCAGAGGTTCGAATCTGGGGATAGCACGGATGAGCTCCCTCTGTCAGCTCCAGCTCCCCATGCAGGGACATGAGGGAAGGGTGGTAACAGATCAAAAACATCCGGGTGTCCTCTGGGCACCAGAATTTTATTTATTTTTCCTGAGCGAAGTCTCTTCACCGCGTCAGATATTCAACGGGGATTTTGTGGACCGCGGCTCGTTCTCGGTGGAGGTGATATTAACGCTGTTTGGTTTTAAGCTGCTATACCCAGACCATTTCCACCTACTTCGAGGTAAGGCTCTCCTCCTCCTCTTACCCATCTTGCCAGACAAATGAAGGACCTGCCAATAGCAATAGGTCTTTGTATTGGAAATTCCATAACCTATTGGAAATAAGTACACCACAACCTTATTGAAAAGGTAAAAATGGTGACAAACGAGAATCGCCATGAACATGTGGAGACCACCTTTTGAAAACCACTAGTCATGATGTTGTTAGAAGTTAACTCCTTGAATCAGTGATATTCATAAGCATTCGTGTAATGGCACACAGGTAACTCGGCTGTTAAACTGAAGAACCATGTCTTTAAACTGCCAAGAATAAAGACATGCCACTACAAAAATATATTGGATTAGCAGAGGATAGTCCTTTCTTTGAAATAGAATTTGCAGTTGTGATTGCCCAAAAGATATATACTCCCTTGAAACCTCTTAGTTAAAATATGCACTCAGGAGGCAAAAACAATTAAAAATAGCATCACTTGTTTACTCATAAACAACTTGCATTAATTCACCATACAGGCACATTTCTTCTTAGAGTTCAGTTAGATAAGATCTAGTTTCTTCTTTGTGTTGATATTTAAATCAATTATCCATAGTCTTTAAGTATAACTGTACTCACTGAAGTCCATAAGTCATACCTCTCTACTATTTATTTATTTGTGTCAGGAGCAAACCAAACAGTTGTATCACATTTTTTAACAAACAAACAAACAAAACACAAAGTTTGCAAGCTTGGTAGCTGATTAAATGTCCTCTGACCAGTATCTGGCCACTTGGAGTGTGTCTGGTGTTGCTGCAAGAAGGTCCTCCCTGGTGCATGTGGCAGGGCTCAGGTTGCATTGCAGCAGGTGGTCAGTGGTTTGCTCTTCTCCACACTCGCATGTCGTGGACTCCACTTTGTGGCCCCATTTCCTAAGGTTGGTTCTGCATCTCGTGGTGCCAGAGCGGAGTCTGTACCCTGCTACCGTCTCCCCAAGGGACTCGGTGCGGCTTACAAGAGGCCGAGCCCAAATACAACAATACAAGCAATAAAACAACAATACAAATAATTAAAATAAAAAACATAGACAATAAAATATGCAACATTATCAATGAGACAGCACACAATTAAAAACAGTGGGAAGGCCACATGTAGAATTAAAATGGGAAGTGATGCTGGGACATGGACGAAAAGGTGATACTGGTGTTTGTGGAAGAACATACAAGCAGACCTAAAGAAATGTAAAGTGCTTTGGAGGACAAAGTGCTATGGGATCATTATTCCCGAAAGGCACACTGGAACAGCCACATCTTCAAGCTCCTCCTGAAGACTGCCAGAGTTGGGGCCTGTCTGACGTCTTTAGGGAGTGAGTTCCAGAGTCGAGGGGCCACCACCGAAAAGGCCCTCTCTCTCGTCCCCACCAATCGCGCCTGCAAGGCTGGTGGGATCGAGAGCAGGGCCTCTCCGGATGATCGTGTGGGTTCGTATATGGAGATGCGGTCACGCAGGTAGGCAGGTCCCATTATTATTATTATTATTATTATTATTATTATTATTATTATTATTATTATTATTATTATTATTATTAGAAACACAACAAGATTAGTACACAGCAAACAAGATCACTCTGCTGGCTGTTGTATTGGATCACATGCAAGACACATCCCAAGTGTCTAGGATTGTGTGCTGTATCAGTGAAAAATGTGTGCAGATCCAAGTAGGGTAGTCTTTCGCAGCTGGCAGATAGTAATGTTGACAGTGCCAATTGTGTTTAAGTGCAGGCCAAGGTCTTTAGGCATTGCACCCAGTGTGCTGATCACCACCAGGACCACCTTAGTGGCCTTTCCAGTTGTTTTTCTTCAATCCTGCTGTTGCATGGATTGTGTCTAGTACTGTGTGATGTATTGACAAATAATGCGTGCAGATCCCAGTAAGGCGGCCTTCTGCAGCTGGCAGATGGTAATTTTGTCAGCGCCGATTGTGTTTAAGTGCAGGCCAAGGTCTTTAGGCACTGCACCCAGAACAGAAAAGAGACATAGAGATGCTGGGTGAGAGGCAAAAATTACAGACAGATGGGGAAAAAGAAAATTGGATTTCATATGTTTACGTGCGCATATTTACGTCAAGTTGAGACTACAAAACCCATGATTCAGAAGCACTCCAATGGGGCATTTTTCTTGATAGAAAACCATCCCTGGTGGTGACGAGAGAGGGGTCCTTCTCTGTGGTGGCCCCCTGGCTCTGGAATTCACTCCCCAGAGATATTAGGCAAGCCCCCACGCTGGCAATGATTATTATTATCAATAATAATAATAATAATATTAATAATAATCTTTATTTATACCTTGCCACCATCTCCCCAACAGGGACTCGGGGCAGCTTATATGAGGCCAAGCCCAAACAACAAATTACAATAAAATAAGATACAAGTTACAATAAAATAAACAACATCGCAGTAAGACACAGAACATATGACTACAATAAACAAAATACCAAAAAAAGCAGTAAACCACTGGGACCACCTCGACTGGCTTGTGCCAGAGTCATTATCATTATTATATTTATTTATTTATACCCTTCTTTATCTCTCCCAAAGGAGACTCAATGCAGCTTAACACAAAAACATTAGCTTGCAATGTTTTTATGTTAATGTGCAAACATTAAAACAGAATTCAGTATAAACAGTATCTTTAAAAAATTCACCAAATCCACTAAAACATATTCAAAGTTATAAACCACTGTCTGGTCTGTCTGATTTCTCTCCTAACCTCTCCCACAAATCTCTCTTGTCCTGTCACTTATTCTCTTTCCACATCCCATCACTCTTTCTCCTTCTCCTCTTCCTTTTAACCTCTTCCTGTGGAATTTTCCGTGTCCCAACACTGTCTTCTCCGGATTTCCCCCTTTGCCTGCCTTTCCAGGGAACCACGAGACAGACAACATGAACCAAATTTACGGGTTTGAAGGCGAAGTGAAGGCCAAATACACAGCCCAGATGTTTGAGCTCTTCAGCGAAGTGTTTGAGTGGCTTCCTCTAGCGCAGTGCATCAACGGCAAAGTCTTGGTAAGATTCCCCTGCAGCTTAGAAGGTGGGAAGGCAAACTTGGGCCCGCTGTTAGGAATTGTGGGAGTTGAAGTCCAAAACACCGGGCGGGCCCAAGTTTGCCCATGCCCTGTGTTACTCCATTGGTGATCCTATTACGTTTTTCCTCCCCTTCAATAGATAATGCACGGTGGGCTTTTCAGTGAAGATGGAGTAACGTTAGATGATATCAGGAAGATCGAACGGAATCGGCAACCTCCAGATTCAGGTAAATAATACGGAAGGTGAACTCCAACGCATCACCTTTCTGAGCAGGATTAACTGCTCCCTCTGCGGGCTTTTGCCCACCAAATGAAGTCTTGGTTCGTTTTGGTGTATTTGTGGATTTCATGCATGTGTAAATTGCACTCGAGGAAAAGAAATGGCACTAATCCCAAACGACAACAGAGTTGTGTGGTCTTGAACATGAGAGCTGAGTTACAACAAGCCCCATGTTAATTAGATTATGTCACATGATTTTTGTTTCCTGTGTTATAAATGTCATTTCCTAATTATTTCTATCATAAAAACATAGAAAAGGGGTTTTAAAGTGCACAAAAGTTTAAAAAATGGCATATGAAAGGTTAAAAGGCTGGGACATGGATCTGAAACAGCCTTAGTCACCTTGGCAGCCACCTCTCCACAAAAGTCAACATTTACACAGAAATACAACACCGCCTGAACTCTGCGAGTGCAGCATTTTTCCGAATGAAGCAGAGAGTGTTTGAGGACCAGGACATCTGTAGGGAGACCAAGGGGCTTGTTTATAAAGCTATTGTCCTCCCAACCCTGCTATACGCCTGCGAAACGTGGACTGTCTACAGACGTCACTCTCAACTCGTGGAACGATTACATCAGCGCTGCCTCCGGAAAATCCTGCAAATCTCTTGGGAAGACAAGCAGGGAAATGTCAGCGTGTTAGAAGAAGCAAAGACCACCAGCATTGAAGCGATGGTCCTCCGCCATCAACTCCGCTGGACCAGCCACGTTGTCCAGATGCCTGACCACCGTCTCCCAAAGCAGTTGCTCTACTCCGAACTCAAGAATGGAAAACAGAGGACAGGAAAAGAGATTGAAAGATGGGCTTAAAACCAAGCTTAAAAACTCTGGCATAGACACTGAGAACTGGGAAGCCCTGGCTCTTGAGCGCTCCAGCTGGAGGTCAGCTGTGACCAGCAGTGCTGTAGAATTTGAAGAAGCACGAATGGAGGGCGAAAGAGAGAAATGTGCCAAGAGGAAGGCATGTCAAGCCAACCCCAGCTGGGACAGCCTTCCACCTGGAAACCGATGTCCTCACTGCAGGAGAAGGTGCAGGTCAAGAATAGGGCTCCACAGTCACCTACGGACCCACCCCCAGGACACTACACTTGGAGGACTATCATCCTCGGACTACAAGGGATTGCCTAAGTATGTCACCTTAGTGGATGATCTGCATAGGGAACTGGATGGGTGATTGTGTCCCTTTTGTTTCTCCTGGACCTCTCCATGGCCTTCGATACAGTAGACCATGTTATCCTTCTGAGTCATGTCATGGGATTGGTTTTATGAACCTCTGACCTTTTAGTCAGCAAGTTCAGTAGCTCAGCGGTTTAACTCACTGCACCACCAGTGATTTCCACTTGCACCTTGCCTATTATACCAGCTACAGTCCTACCAACCTGAATGGAATTTCATTCTTTTCCATCTCTAGTTTGATTGGGTGGTTTACAGCAGACGTGTTTGGCACTTAGGTCTTCCTTTTTGGGTTTCTTTTGGTATTTTTAATTGATTTTCCACATTCTCATTGGCAGGTCCCATGTGTGACTTACTCTGGTCAGACCCTCAACCTCAGGTAAGGCCTACTTTCGTTCTACCTGCACTTTACCCTGGTTCAAATGTTTGCCAGGCATCCTAGGAACCCCTTCCCTTCTTTGTCTATCTCTGTCTGAAATAGTTGCAGATTATGGGCACACATGCTTTGCATAAGGTAAAACTGCTGCTCTGGGCCAGAGTGAAGAGAGAGGGGGCCAGGGGACAGTTCCACTTTGTCTCCTGTGCTATGTTAATAATATAATATAATATAATATAATATAATATAATATAATATAATATATTGTATATACATATAATATTTATAATATTATAACGTAGTGCAATATAATACTACCAATAAAATGATATTACTAATATAAATTTATATTACATGTAATATTACTAATAATATTACAATATAATGGTATAATACAATATAGTAATATTTAATACTGATATTGTACTATGCTTTTAATATAATATATTGTATGTATATATATCTTGTAAGCCGCTCTGAGTCCCCTTTGGGGTGAGAAGGGTGGCATATAAATGTCTTAAATAAAAATAAATGAGATTGGGTGCCAAGCTGTATGTTGTTATAGGACAAAGGGGTGTGTGTGCGTGTGTTTGTTTATTTATTCACAGAATATATATTCCACCCTTCTCACCCCAAAGGGGACTCAGGACGGATCACAGAACACGTATACAGCCAAATTCAATGCCATTATACATTGACAAGACAGACAATTGTACATAGATAGAGATTAAGGTCCTCCGGGGAGGCCCTGCTTTCTGTCCCGCCATTGTCACAGGCACGATTGGTGGGGACGAGAGACAGGGCCTTCTCAGTGATTGCTCCCCAGTTATGGAACTCCCTTCGTGGTGAGATCAGGTCGGCCGTCTCCCTCCTGTCCTTTAGAAGGATGGTAAAAACTTGACTGTGGGACCAAGCTTTCGGGACAGGGCAATAAAGCGGCAATAGGAAATGACTAGGACGGTTTTAAATGGTGTATTTTAATATATGTTTTTTAATGTTTATGTATTGTATGTGAATCTGTGTCCTGGCATTGAATGTTTGTCGTATATATGCTGTGCTCCACCCTGAGTCCTTTTCGGGGTGATAAGGGCGGAATATAAATGTTTTAAATAAATAAATAGATAGGTAGAGGTATATATAGGCATCTTGGAGGCTGTTCTTGGTTCCAGCCAGAGGGGGTGCTGTTGCTCCACTTTCTCTGCCAAAGAGCTTTTGTTCGTAAACTTCCTCCTTGATTGAATTGCCAGCATTTTTCTGTCATTTCCTTATGGGTGCCTTAAATACCTCCCCGCTTTTAAAACAGTACATTTTGTTTTCGAACTGCTAGGTAGGCAGAAGCTGCGCTAAAGGCCAGGAGCTCACCCCGACCCCGGGCTTCAAACTGTCAACCTTTCTGCAGATTTACTGCAGCTGGCGGTTAACCTGCTGTGCTAAAGCCCGGCTCAATTCCAAGAGAATAAACAAGGGGGCATTTTTGGGAAAGTATGACACATAAGGAGAAGGTTTTGCTCCATATACAGTCCAGGCATGTAGATTTGATCTCTATGTTATGTGATGCATTCAAGCAAGAGACAGTAACCTGTCGATCCCCATTTTTGCCTCATGGAGGGCCATGTACACCTTATGGTTGCTTTCAAAGGACTCTTGAATGCATGTATGGAGTATCCACAGATACAGAGGGCCAAATGTAATTTTTTGAAATAGTGATCCGTGCTCTTTAGTTTTTACCCAGTTTTACCCAGGAGCCCCTCGTGGCACAGTAGGTTAAGCCCTTGTGCCGGCAGGACTGAAGACCGACAGGTTGGAAGTTCAAATCTGGGGAGAGCGCAGATGAGCTCCCTCTGTCAGCTCCAGCTCCCCAGGCGGGGACATGAGAGAAGCCTTTCACAAGGATGATAAAAACATCAAATCATCCAGGCGTCCCCTGGGCAACGTCCTTGCAGACGGCTAATTCTCTCATGCCAGAAGCGACTTGCAGTTTCTCAAGTTGCTCCTGACACAAACAACCCAGTTTGTGTCCCCAGATTTGTTGAATGACAACTCCTATCCTTTTCGACTATCTGCCATGCAGAGTGGGAATCATGGGAATTACAACCCAGCAATACTTGCAATTCCGAGGTTGAGGGATAGTTAGAGGGCATTTAATGCCAGACTTCACCTCCACAATAATAATCTATATAAATAAAAATGTAATGTTCGTTTGTGGGATTAACATAACTCAGAAACCATTCATCGAGTTGACACGAAATTTTGACACAATACACCTAACAATCCAACGAGTGTCCATCACCCCTAAAAACACCAAAAATCCCCATCAGATCAGACTTAAAAAACCCCAAAATACACCATATATACATATACGCTCATATACATATACACACATCCATACACACACACACACATATATATATGAACAAGTACACACAAATATACATATATACACATATACACATGCACACATATACACACATATATACATATACACATGCACACACATATACACATACTTACACACATATATACACACAAATATGCAAATAAAGCATACCCACATATATAATATACATACACACGTATAAACACACAAATATACAAATATATAAACACATATATAAATATATGCACACACACATTTATTTACCTTACTTATTTGCCTTACTTATATACCGCTGTTCTCAGCCCGAAGGCGACTCACAGCGGTTCACAACAAATACGAACAGCAAAAATTCAGTGCTACAGTATAGAAACAGTTAACAACCTAACACATGACACAATTAATAAACAGTTACTACAATACCCATTCACTGTCGTCTCGTCATCAAAAACATGTTCCAGATTCGTCATCCATTGTTCCATTCCAGTGTTCATTAACCAATCATTGCACTAATTATTCGAACGCCTGCTCAAACAGCCAGGTCTTCACTTTTTTGCGGAATACCATTAGAGATGGTGCTAGTCTAATGTCCGTAGGAAGGGCGTTCCACAGCCAAGGAGCCACCACCAAGAAGGCCCTATCTCTCGTCCCCGCCAGCCGTGCTTGAGAAGCAGGCGGGATCGAGAGCAGGGCCTCCCCGGAAGATCTCAAAGTCCTGGTGGGTTCATACACACACACACACACATATATATGTGCAAACACACATATATACACAAATATATACACAGACTGGGCCACAGCAACGTGTGACAGAGGACAGCTAATAATAATCATCATCATCATCTTTATTTATACCCTACCACTATCTCCCCAAAGGGGACTCGGAGTGGCTTGCAGGAAGTATTTTCATTCACTGGACTAAATTTGGCAAAAATACCCGATACACCCAAATTTGAATACTGGTGGCGTTGGGTGGGGGATTTATTTTGTCATTTGGGAGTTGTAGTTGCTGGGATTTATAGTTCACCTACAATCAAAGAGCATTCCGAACTCCACCAATGATGGAATTGAGCCATCATTGGTGAAGTTGGTCATGGGAATTCTGGCACACAGAATTCCCATGACCACCAGAAAATACTGGAAGGGTTTGATGGGCATTGGCCTTGAGTTTGGGAGTTGTAGTTCACCTACATTCCGAGAGCACTGTGGACTCAAACAGTAATGGATCTTGACCACATTTGGCATGACAATCAATATGCCCAAATGTGAACTTTGCTGGAGTTTGGGGAAAATAGACCTTGACATTAGGAGTTGTAGTTACTGGGATTTATAGTTCACCTACAATCAAAGAGCATTCTGAACCCCACCAAGATTAGAATTGGGCCAAACTTCCCACACAAAACCCCCATGACTAACAGAAAATACTGTGTCTTTGGTGACCCCTCTGAGACCCCCTCGTGACCCCTCCAGGTGTCCCAACCCCCAGGTTGAGAAAGGCTGATCTAGAAAGAAGCTGGGGCTAAACATAAGCACCTTTGTGTGCCTTCCTTCTTGTCCCGCCTCCTCCAGAACGGCCGGTCGATCAGCAAACGGGGCGTGAGCTGCCAGTTCGGGCCCGACGTCACCCAAAGCTTCCTGGAACGCAACCATTTAGACTACATCATCCGCAGCCACGAAGTCAAGCCCGAGGGATACGAGGTGGCCCACGACGGCAAGTGTGTCACTGTGTTCTCAGCCCCCAACTACTGGTGAGTGAGCAAATGGAAAACTATATATACTACAACCACTTTGGTGGTTGGGGCACTCTTTGGTGGAAAAAAACACGGCAATATATATATCTTCTATCTATATAAATAAAAATGTAATGTTTGTTTGTGGGATTAACAGAACTCAAAAACCACTGGACGAATTGACACCAAATTTGGGCATAAGACACCTAACAACCCAATGTATGTCCTTCACTCAAAAAAAATTGATTTTGTCATTTGGGAGTTGTAGTTGCTGGGATTTATAGTTCACCTACAATCAAAGAGCATTCTGAACCCCACCAACAATGGAATTGAACCAAACTTGGCACACAGACTCCCATGACCAACAGAAAATACTGGAAGGGTTTGGTGGCCAATGTCCTTTAGTTTTGGAGTTGCAGTTCACCTACATCCAGAGAGCACTGTGGACTCAAGCAATGATGGATCTGGACCAAACTCTACACGAATACTCAATATGCCCAAATGTGAACACTGGTGGAGTTTGGGGGAAATAGAATCTTGACATTTGGGAGTTGTAGTTGCTGGGATGTATAGTTCACCTACAATCACAGAGCATTCTGAACCCCACCAACGATAGAATTGGGCCAAACCTCCCACACAGAACTCTCATGTGGGCTACAGCAATGCATGGCAGGGGACAGCTAGTCTATATAAATAAAAATGTAATGTTCGTTTGTGGGATTAACAGAACTCAAAAACCACTGGATGAATTGACACCAAATTTGGACACAAGGCACCTAACAACCCAATGTATGTCCTTCACTCAAAAAAATTGATTTTGTCTTTTGGAAGTTGTAGTTGCTGGGATTTATAGTTCACTTACAATCACAGAGCACTCTGAAACCCACCAACGATAGAATTGGGCCAAACCTCCCACACAGAACCCCCATGTGGGCCACAGTAACGCGTGGCAGGGGACAGCTAGTACATATAATAAAAGTAAAAATGTGTATGTGTATGTGGCTGGGGTGCCCACTTCCACAGACAAGCTCCCACTTCCACAGATAGCTGTAGCTCCCACTACTCAGGAGACACCAAAGGCCCTCCCTCCAGTAACATTGCAGGTTATAGTAAGTCCTATGAACATGTACAAGAGCCCTGCCAATGTCCTCCTCCACAAACCACAAACACAAGACTGCCCACCACCCAAGTGAAGGGGACAATTTCATCCTAGATTTTCTGTTTTTCCTCCACCACAGGCATCCCAGTGACAGGTTTGGAACAAGTCACATAGTGATGCACTGTTTTCCCATCTGTTTTGGACGCCAAATGCCCCGACTCCTTTTCCCAATCCCAGTTTGAGACCTGACTGTACTCACAACTCTTTCCCTTTTTTTGACCATTTCTTGCCAGTGACCAGATGGGCAATAAAGGTTCCTACATCCACTTGAAAGGCTCAGACCTGCGGCCGGAATTCCACCAGTTCACAGCAGTGGTGAGTGCGCTTTTCCTGTGGAATTACCTCGTCCGGATGCTCAGAATCAGAGATGCCATGGGTGAATTGTGGGAGTTGGAGTCCAAAAGACCTGGAGGGACGAAGTTGGCCCATGCCAGTGATAGATAGATGAGGGATAATGAAATAGAATGAGATAACAGAACAGCGACAGATACACAAGGTAATGACTGGATGGATGGAGGGAGGGAGGGAGGGAGAAATACAGAAAGAAGATGGTTGATAGCTAGATTGATGAATGACAGATAGGCTGGGTAATGGATCATGACCAATGTGCTGCCAAAGGCTTTCATGGCAATGTGAGTTTTCTGGGCTGTCTGGCCGTGTTCCAGAAGCATTCTCTCCTGACGTTTCGCCTCCATCCTCAGATGTTGTGAGGTCTGTTGGAAACAAGACAAGTGAAGGTATATATATCTGTGGAATAATGTCCAGAGTGGGAGAAAGAACTCTTATCAGCTTGAGGCAGGTGTGGATGTTGTAATTAATCACCTTGATTAGCATTTGATGGCCTTGCAGCTTCAAAGCCTGGCTGCTTCCTGCTCAGGGGAATCCTTTGTTGGGAGGTCATTAGTTGGCCCTGATTGTTTGTCTGAAATTCCCCTGTTTTTGAATGTTCCTCTTTATTTACTGTCCTGATTTTAGAGTTTTTTTAAGACTGGTAGACAGATTTTGTTCATTTTCATGGTTTTCTCCTTTCTGTTGAAATTGTCCACCTACTTGTGGATATCAGTGGCTTCTCTTTGTAGTCCGACATAGTGGTTATTAGAGTGGTCCAGCATTCTGTGTTCATAGATAGATAGATAGATAGATAGATAGATAGATAGATAGATAGATATATATAGGCCTGGGCAATCCATGGTTCTAAATGGTTCTAAAGTACTTACAAAACTAAAGTTCTGGTGGTGAAAATTTCAGAACTCTAACAAAACTCTCAAAATTTAATTATAAATGGCAGTTCCTAATTGGTTCTATCATAAAAATCACCAATAATGAAATAATAATTAAATTTTGAAAGTTTTGTTAGAGTTCTGAAATTTTCACCACCAGAACTTTAGTTTTGTAAGTACTTTAGTACCATTTAGAACCATGGATTGCCCAAGCCTAGATACGTGCTAGGAGAGATTTTTATATATATGTATATGTATATGTGTGTGTGTGTATGTGTGTGTGTGTGTGTGTGTGTATATATATATATATATATATATATATCCATGTCGGATTGTGGCACAGCTGGCTGAGTGTCAGCTGCATTAAGATCACTCTGACCAAAAGGTCATGAGTTTGAAGCCAGCCCGGGTTGGAGTGGGTTTCCAACCAATTGTGTAGCCTGTTGTCGACCTTTGCAACCCGAAAGACAGTTGCATCTGTCAAGTAGGAAAATAAGGTACCACCTTAAAGTGTGGGGAGGCTAAATTAACTAATTTATGAGGCCATAGACTTCAGAAAAAAGCATGCAGGGAATGCGGAAGTACTTCATCAGTGTCACAGATGTCGCAGATGAAAGCGACAGCTCCCCTGGCGGCCAGAAAAAGTTAAATAGCCCCTGTCTATGTCTGTATATGTTGTATGTCAACATTGGCATTGAATGTTTGCCATATATGTGTACACTGTAATCCGCCCTGAGTTCCCTGCGGGGTGAGAAGGGCAGAATAGAAAAGCTGTAAATAAATAAATTAAATAAATAAATCTGTGAACACTTTACTTTACTTTAGAACCATTTAGAACCATGGATTGACCAGGCCTATAAATACCTCACTTGCCTAGTTTCCAACAGATCTCACAGCCTCTGGGGATGCCTGCCATAGATGCGGGCGAAACATCAGGAGAGAATGCTTCTGGAACGTAGCCAGACAGCCTGGAAAATTCACAGCAACTGAAAGTTTGGGCAGTTTAATAAACTTTTCCCATGTTCTTTTATGATAGAACCAATTAGGAAATGACATTTATAACCCAGGAACAAATATGGCTTACTGGTCTTCTCCTCCTTCCAGCCTCATCCAAACGTCAAGCCAATGATGTATGCCAACTCGCTGCTGCAGCTGGGGATGATGTAAACTGCCCGCCCGTCGCCGCCTCTGCCGCTGGCCCTCGCCCCCCTTTCCTCCCCTTTGGTCAGGAGACTCCCATTTTTGCGCTCAGCAAACGACTCTGGTTTTCCTTTTCTCAATTATTATTATTATTTTGGTTACAGTTTCTTCCAGCATCATCATTTATTACAAAGCGAGAGGGGGGGGGCAGGAGAATGGAGGGAGAGCGGGTATTAATGCCCCGAACATCAATTCCAGGGGTTGGGGGGTTGCGTCAGTAACGCACGCCCTTCCACCTCATACAAAAAAAGGCAGGGCACGGACCCTTCTTTCTCATTTTCTTTTTTTTCTGTCAATGCACTAGCGGCACGAGAGGAAACGGCAGCCAGAGTGTAACAAAACGATTTTTTAAAAAATATATATATTGGAAGATTGTATTTATTCCCTACAATCTACTGTTTTGTTTTGTTTTCTTCTTTCCCCCTCCCCTAGGTCCTTGTGCTCATCCTCCTTTACGATCCGGACTCTTCCTTCCCAGGCTCAATATCCAGAAGCGAGTAGATCAGTGGTTCTCAACTTGTGGGTCCCCAGGTGTTTTGGCCTACAACTCCCAGAAATCTCAGCTGTTAGGATTTCTGGGAGTTGAAGGCCAAAACATCTGGGGACCCACAGGTTGAGAACCACTGGAGTAGATGGATGCGGGGTTGGTTGACAGTCTTATGGTGATATTGATAGGGACATATAGCTCCCTGTACATCAGTGGTTCTCAACCTGTGGGTCCCCAGGTGTTTTGGCCTACAACTCCCAGAAATCTCAGCCAGTTTACCAGCTATTAGGATTTCTGGGAGTTGAAGGCCAAAACATCTGGGGACCTACAGGTTGAGAACCACTGCTATACATAGTTCTGTGTCCTCCAGGAAACTATCAAGGAACAGGCTCTTATTTCAGGGAAGAAGAGTGAAAAGGAAGTGATTCAGACCATAGAGAAGCCACTGATGTTAGCTTGGAAGAGAACCACTGGAGTAGATGGATGCGGGGTTGGTTGACACAGTCTTATCGCTTCCTATACATAGTTCTGTGTCCTCCAGATAGCGTTCAAGGAACAGACACATATTTCAGTGACAAAGAGTGAATAGGAAGTGATTCAGACCATAGAGAAGCCACTAGTCTTAGGTTGGAAGAAATGAGAGCATATTCTCACATGGAGTGTGCTTCCTTTCTCCAAGCAGCTGGATATTTTTGGTCTGAATTGCCACAAAGGCACCACATTTCCCTTTAATAACAGGACTTGAGATCTACCGGAGAGTGGAGGTCTTTGGATGGAGCACAAAGTTGAGATTTGTGGCCCAGGCAAATCAGCAACAGGATGCCAGTCCCAAGAAGGGGAAACCAACCAATGTTGGATCAAGGTTGTGGTATATTCCCAGTCATTGTTGCTTTTGAAATTTCCAGGAAGGAAAGAAAGATCTCTAAATCTGTGGCCAGCTTCCTCTCTGTCAGACTCTGGAAGATCTTGGAGTTAAAATCAAGCTCACAACAATAAAACACTGGAGACAAGTTGTTTATTCCTTCTTTCCACAATCCTAAAAAGACAGTTCTAAAGTTTCCCGCTGAAACACCTGGTAATATAACAGCCTAACTCCCATCCAGATTTCCAGGAAGGAAGGAAAAGTCTCTAAATCTGTGGCCAGCTTCCTCTCTGTCAGACTCTGGAAGATCTTGCAGTTAAAATCAAGCTCACAGCAATAACACGCTGGAGACAATTGGTCATTCCTTCTTTCCACAATTCCAAAAAGACAGTTCTAAAGTTAATATAATAGCCCAACTCCAATCCAAATTTCCAGGAAGGGAGGGAGGGAGGGAGGAAGGAAAGGTCTCTGAATCTGTGCTCAACTCCCCCTGTCAGGCTCTGTAAGATCTTAGAGTTAAAATCAAGCTCACAGCAATAACACGCTGGAGACAAATGGTTTACTCCTTCTTTCCACAATCCTAAAAAGACAGTTCTAAAGTTTCCCATTCAAACACTCTGTAATATAATAGCCCAACTCTGATCCAAATTTCCAGGAAGGAAGGAAGGAAAGGTCTCTGAATCTGTGCTCAACTCTCTCTGTCAGGCTCTGTAAGATCTTGGAGTTAAAATGAAACTCATAACAATAAAACGCTGGAGACAAGTGGTTTATTCCTTCTTTCCACAACCCTAAAAGACAGTTCTAACGTTCCCCATTGAAACACCCGGTAATACAACAGCCTAACTCCCATCCAGATTTCCAGGAAGGAAGGAAAGGTCTCTAAATCTTGGGCCAGCTTCCTCTCTGTCAGACTCTGGAAGATCTTGGAGTTAAAATCAAACTCATAACAATAAAACGCTGGAGACAAGTGGTTTATTCCTTCTTTCCACAATCCTAAAAAGACAGTTCTAAAGTTTCCCGCTGAAACACCTGGTAATATAAGAGCCTAACTCCCATCCAGATTTCCAGGCAAACTTATGTTTTGGTGTTTTGGACTTCAACTCCTATAATTCCTAGAAGCCTCAGGCCCTTTCCTTTTCCCCCTCAGCTGCTTAAGCCTGAGGCTGTTAGGAATTGTGGGGGTTGAAGTCCAAAACACTGAGAGGGCTCAAGTTTGCCCATGCCTGTACTACTGCAAATCTGTGGTGGGCAGCTTATGTGAATGGGTCCACCAGTGAGAATGGAGGAAGATGATCTTCCTGGTGGCAGATTTGCAGATCTTTGCAGGGAGTCTAGAACCAATCCATGTAGCGTTCTAGGTCCCCTAACCTCACCCATCTTTCTCGCCTCTAGTCTAGGGCACTGTTGGCATTGTGCAAAGATAGGAATTCATCTGGAAACTTGACCTCCCGAGATCTCCAGCCTTTGGAGACTTCTTTTGTTTTAAGAAATCTAGATTGGCAAGTTTTTGCTAATTTATTTTTCTCTGGAATTGACACAATGGAAACTCTCTGAGGCCATAATATTAGGTGTTTTTGGAGAAACTGGATTTCCAGTTTAGGACAGTACCGCACTACATTCCTAAAGAGTTGTTATCCCACTCTCAATTCTATGGCTTGCCTCCTCTTGGATCCTGGGATTTGCAGTTTACCAAGGAGTTCCCGGTCTTCGCTAAACTGCAAATCCCAGTATTCTCAAGCAGAGTTAAAAGTAGAATGACAACACCTGAATAGTCAGATACCTCATTGGGATATTGTGAGGGTTGCTTCATCTCAGGCTGGATCTACACTGCTATATGATGCAGTTTCGGGATGCGGATTGACTGCAGAATATTAGGTGTTTTGGGGGAAACTGGATTTCCAGTTTAGGACAATTCCGCACGACACTCTTAAAGAGTTGTTACCCTACTCTCAATTTTTTGGCTTGCCTTCTCTTGGATCCTGGGATTTGCAGTTCATCATTGTGAAGGTGCCCGTATATTACTGCTACTAATTGTAAAGGCTTGGCCACTAATTTGTAATGATGCCACCAAATTGTAAGGATGTATAAATATAACTACTATCAATATGTAGGGAGTTGGTAAAAGGAGCCACCTCTTTGTGAGGGCTTATTATATTGATGACACAACCAAGGGCTTGTAATGTTGCTTTGGTCTTTCTTCAATATGTAGCATGACTTGACTTTGAAAGGAATCGTAACATAGGCTTGACTTTAAAAAGAAACTGTAACAAGTTTATTGAGGTACAGAAGCTTGATGGTTTCAAAGTTTCCTTTCTCTTAGAGGTACAGATCTTCGAAGGTTACATTCATAACAGTTCTTAAATAACTCTCAGGAGGTCTAATTCTTCTGACAAACAGGTCTCAAACTTAGTTCCTTTAAAAAGGTGTTTCTTTCTTTAACAGATTGTTTCAGGCACACGCTTATCCTTTCTTTATGATGGTTCTGTTACAATAAAGATGCTTATTAGGGCTTCCCCTCTTTTTCCACAACCGTTACTTTTAATATAAATAAATCACTCGACTTATCTAAACTATATTGGCTCAAAGCCAAAACCTTCCTGATTCTTAATACCAAAGAATCAGCCTTCCCTTGTAGTTCTTTGACTACAGAATCCTCACTGGTTCTCCACACACAACAGAACCAGCCACCTCTGCAGTTCACCGACCACAAACTGACTGCTTTAAAATGGCTGCTCTGCCAAGTGGCAGTTGGCTCCACCCCTATCTTCATAGCAACTCAGCTCAAAGCGAGCTAAGCTGGCTACCATCCCCCAATATTATGCAATACTATATACTTACCCTTACAAACACTTATCTATAACAATACATAACTGTAGATAAAAATTTACACTTCATCACACTCATGTTCCGCCAAGGGGTTCCCGGGCCTCACTAAACTGCAAATCCCAGGATCCATCTTAAGTGAGGTTAAAAGTAGAATAACAACACTTGAATAGTCAGGTAACTCATCGGGATATTGTGAGTAAAGACTCAGGATACTTCCTCTCAAGCTGGATCGACATTTCTGTATGATGCAGTTTCGGGATGCAGCTTGACTGCATGGAACGGAACTACAGTAATCCCTCACAAACCCGCCGTTTTGCGGTTTTTCAATAAATATTAATGTCAAATATTTATCGCGGCATTTTTGCGGGTTTTTGCGGTACTCGACCATCAACATTGACTGGTTCTCCCACCAAATCAGGCAAATTCACTGCCAACAAGGGCTGGTTTGATAAATTTTAGAAGCGCTATGGATTTAAGAGCGTTTGTCATGGATAAAGCCGGAGCCGTGGATTACGTGAACAACACATTCAAAGAGGTTTATGTAGTGTATAAGTGTGCGGGGAGGGTTTATAAAGACTTAAAATAGTGTATAATACTAAAATAATGTATAAATATTAAAATAAATATAGCATCCCTGGCTTACTGCAGGTTTTTTAGCATCCTTACTTTGCGGATTTTCACTTTTTGCGGGTGGTCCTGGAACGTAACACCCACGATAAGTGAGGGAACACTATACATTGCAATGTGGTCTCAAATAATCCAGACCAGTGCGGTTAATCTGTATTCCGAAACTGGATTATATGCCAGTATAGATCCGTCTGAATTTAGGAGTTATCCTTGGCTTACTGTAGGTTTTTTAGCATCCCTACTTTGCGGATTTTCACTTTTCGCGGGTGGTCCTGGAACGTAACACCCGCAATAAGTGAAGGAACACTGGATATGGCAATGTGGTCTCAAATAATCCAGACCAATGCGGTTAATCTGTATTCCGAAACTGGATTATATAGCAGTATAGATCCAGATGAATTTAGGAGTTATCCCTGGCTTACTGTAAGTTTTTTAGCATCCCTACTTTGTGGATTTTCACTTTTTGCGGGTGGTCCTGGAACGTAACACCCACAATAAGTGAAGGAACACTGGATATGGCAATGTGGTCTCAAATAATCCAGACCAATGCGGTTAATCTGTATTCCGAAACTGGATTATATAGCAGTAT